AATCTTTGTCTTGAATTGTTCAGAGTGCACAGGATGACACTGAGAAGAAAAAAGGAAAACACAAAAGCAGAATGATGATGCTGGCAAATATACTAGTTCTACCACCTATGTTTTAGAAGGGGAAGACTAGCAAGGAAACAAAAAGTGCGAGGTATGTACCAGCAAAATGGAAAAACGGGAAAGCACAAGAGCTCAGAAAGGTGAGGAAGTGTAGAAAGATGCTAAAGTGCCAAGACTGGGCATACAGACATACTCCAGGTCAGAAATAGACAAGCCTGAGATAGATGTAACATGTGGTTTTGTTACAACTAAGCACTGTGTGGATGTTACCATTCTAAATTCCATCTTAAAATGCTGTTCCTCTGATTTTTCAAGAGGAATGAACACAGCCTGGTAAAACTAGTTTGAATGAATGAGTCTCATGTCAAAAAAAAAAAAGAGGTTTTTCAACATGAAGTCCGCCCACAGAATACCACATCCTTACACTGGAAAGAATTTACTGAGGTATTTTGTCTCAGGTCTTAATCTGAATCTAAGCATTTAGTTTCTGGGAGCCATCAATCTGGGGCCTTGGAGGTACTCACAGAGTCCCACAGGAGAGGCAGCCCTCCTTAGGACCTCTACCGGAGCGGGGGAGTGAGAAACACCAAGGGCACTCAAGAGACCCAGGGCCATCTTGTTGGGCCGAGACAGAGGCATGCTGGGATTAGTGCTGATCTTAAACACAAAGTTTGGAAACTAAACTCTTCACCTTAGAAATGACAAAACAAAATGTTCTAATACTTCCAAGGGGAATATTTTGTTAATTTTCCACCAAAGACTTTAATTTCAGGATGGAAGCAACTACCAAGATACCAGGATTTTTAACATAACACGAATCCTCATTTTGAGAGTTTACAGAGAACTGTAGCAGAGCCATGTGAGTCTTCAGGAAGAAACAGCTCCCCTTTTTCCCTCCCTCCTCCTCCCTCAAAACCACAACAACTTAGACTGCCATCAGGCCAGCGAGAATTTTATATTAAACAATTACCCTCAGCCACCCCAGGCCATTCAGCTGAATTAAGTCAAAGGGACTGCTGGCAAGCTTAAAAATAGGCATGTGTTTAAGAGCTTTGCTGGCTTTGTTGCTGCAGTGAAAAAAAAGAAGTTGGAGAGGCATCAATCTGGAATTGAAAATATCATCAATATTTCCAAGACAGAAAATATAATTGGAATTAATAATTCATTCTGGTCTACTGCATGAAGCCTAACTGAGAGCAAAGTGAGAGATACTAGCATTTTTCCTCTTCCTATTGTTTGATATTAATGTGAAAACAGGTTCAGTAATCAGAAGAAAGAGAGATATAAGACACTGTGCTGTGGAAATGGGTGTATCATAGTAAGGGAACTGAAGAGTAACAACAGCAGAGCACTGAGTGGACTGACAGAGCGAGGATGACATGTGGGTAAGGTGAGAATTCCTTGATAAGCGTTCTACTTTGTATTATCACTTTGGCGATTTTCAGTACATCGATTTCGTGACAAGCCTTCCTGCACAGTGTCATTAATATTTTTCCTCCCTTTAAGACTGTGGTTCTAAGCAGCAGCAGTATTTCTTCCTGTCCACTTCTAGAAGTAAAGGAAGACATCCCCTTCAGCAGTGGAAATCTGCTATGCCTACTTTTGTAATGCTCTCACATACTTTTCCTTGGTCTATAATCTATGTTCTATTTCAAACAAATGATGCCCACAATGGCTCTTCCAGGCTTGCCCTAGCTAGCTGGAGGCATCTTTAGGGTAATATATCATTCAATCAATGACAGTCTGAAGATGAATCCATTCAGAAGGTTGGCAAAAAAAAAAAAAAACCTCTAAAATCTGTATCAGGGGACCTGGAGAAAAAACAAATTGCAAGGAACAAGTTATGCAGAAGCTACCTGTGTTTTCAAATGTACGATGAGGTTTCCAATACTATTAACATCTCTGAAAGAGTTTATACCTACTGCAGAGATGGAACAAGTAATACTCTATACAAATTCAGGAAGGTGTTGGAAGAGAGAGAGCAGACATGTATCAATTTTCCTTCTAGATAAGCTGCATATTTCAGCAGCAGCATGCCAGATTTCCTCTCTTCCCCACTTTCTGTGTTGTTTTCTCTTCCTCTCCTACATTTCCTTTTGATGTTCTCCAGTGCAACCCTGCAGGTTGTGAACATACACATTACAACTGGTGTTACAGGAACCACCTGAGGCACCAGAAACAGTGTAGGCACATTAATACAGAGGATAAACTAGCACGTGTGACAACCATGGTAAAAGCACAGCCAGTACTGGAGCTTGTCCACCTCTACCTAGTGCTGCAGCCAGAGGTTTGGCAAAGCAGGACAGAAAAAGTCCTAACTTCATCCATACACCACACTGGCCTCCAGCTCTGCAGAAGAGCAACTGAGCAAACTCGAAAATGGTCTCCCTGATTTCCCCCCTTATTTTGCATCTTTTCTCCCTCTGTCTCTCGCATGGTCAAGGCTGCCTGCCGCAACAGCATGACACTATGCAGTGATATTTGTTAGGCAGGACTCTCTTAGGGGGCTGTGTTATATAGCTGTTGTTACCTCTTTAATTTTCAACTGCATATGAAACATTTGAAGCTAATCCAACTCCAGAAGTGTCAAAGGAGGATGCAAAATAAACAGTATTCTGCTCTACTGTCCAGCCACTGCAGACAGACAGACCATCCCCAGCAGGGTCCTGAAGGTCAGTACCCACAGCATCTGCAGCTAACCAGTGGTGGAAGGAGGAATTTTAGAAGAAAATTGGCAGCTACAACACAGAGTGCGTGCCATCATACCTCCATCAATTAGCTTTGCTATCTTTGAAGGAGCTCTCTTTGGTACAGTAATACCCACTGGCCTGTGCCACTTCAACATGCTCCTGAAGTCTTAACTATCTGCTCACACAGAGGCAGTGTTACACCACCCTGGTTGCTTTGATGAATGCTCTACAGCAGAGTTCATCCAAGTGGTAAAAATACTGGGAACCACCTTACAAGCTACATCTAAACAGGAAGCCACAACAACCATCAGCGTGCCATGGGATAGGAGAGGGAGCCCACCTTCCCAAGCCTACACAGGGCTGAGTCCAGATGAGACCCAAAGTGTTTTCTCCTCTTTCTGCAAAACGGATTGGCAGGGTTAGGCAGAAAGCCCCACCTGAATCTGACTATTGCATGACAAGCAAATTCAGGAAAGCAGAAGAAATCAGCAGAAGCCTGGCTATAATTTTTGCACCACAGCTCAGGAAGAGTAAAGAACTTTCCAACAGCAAGTCCAACGTCACTTTGAGGAGCTCCCAAGCATGTTTCATCCTCATGCAAAGAGAAGAAGGTGGCTCTGCCAGTGCGTATACCACAGGAACTACAATCCTGATGCATTTTAATAAACATTATATGCAAAACCGTATTTTGATAGACCAAAACAGCTCTCATCCTAATTACAGACTTTTGAAGTAGTAGATACTACTCACCCACTTTGAGTTCAGGCCTCTGAGCCACTAGGCAGTTTGAAACATGCCTGAACTACTGCGGATGGAGCCTGTCTTTAATGGCAAGTGAAGACCACGCAGAAGTGATGGGCTTGATATAGAGCTTACTTGAGAAATCCTGTGGCCTAAAACAAGCAAGAGATCAGAACAGATGATGGGCAAGGTCCCTTCCAGCTGGGAAATCTGGCAACCAGCTAACCCGTATGTTCCCAGACAAGTCTGCTGCCCAATTAAGACTGTAACTACTGCACACTAGTATTCCACCATCTGGAAGTTTCAAAACAGACATTGTACACCTCAAGATACTGTCACAATAGTCACTAACACAGAAAGACAGGTTGCAAGTCGGCTGCTTCATCAGCCTAACAGACAGCAACAAACTAAGCCACTACCAATTAATTAAAGGTCAATAACATTTAAAATCCTAAAGAACTGCACATCCCAGACTATTTGTAATTGGCAAATACACTTAGATAAAGCAAGTCATTACCCCAACAATTGTTGCCTGCTGCTGCTCTCCACCCTACCCCCCTCCCCTTACACACTGCAGGGACCACAGGAGGGTTACCTACAGGAGCGCTGTGCTCCGGATCAACACCACATGGTGTCCAGCACCGGCAGCCTGGTCTGAAGCCCACGGACAGGAGTCATCAGCATTGGAAGTTTTTCTGTTTATTTCAACGGGCATTGGATGAGCTGTAAATATCTGTCAAAACCAGTAGTTTCTAATAGATAAATATCCTCTGCTTTCACTGGTTTCATGACTTTGAAATGGCTAGATTACTCTGTACAGCCAGAGTTGAGACACTACTCAGCATACCTCCTGCACACACCATCAACAAACAGCCCATGTCCTAAGATGAGTGCAACACAGGGTTAAAATTAAGTTTAAAAATTTGTTCACATTTAAAGTTTAACTCTGCCATATACGGGCATTATTACTGAGAAGTTTCGTAATCTTTTATACCTGCAAGGAGCCACACAATCCCTGACTATTAAAAGGAATAAGAAACAAGCAAACAACAAACAGGCAAGAGGATAAAACTCCTAGGCTGAATCTCAGAAATGGCTAGGGTTTCTCATAACCTCTGTAACAGAAAGAAACTGTGTTTCTTGTCTTACTCCCACTTGCTACCCCCAGAAAGTTCTGAAGATAATTCTGGCTGAAAGAGTCTTCTGCTAAATCACTTTAACCTGGACATTTTTATTGTTGGTACTAGGTTTTTGTTTTGGTTTGTTTTGGTTTGTTTTGGTTTTTGTTTTTTTTTTTTTTTTTTGGATAACAGAGTTAAAATTAAATGTAACACCCCCTCCCAGAGCCAGGCATTTTTATTTGCAGGTGTCCAATTATACCTACTTCATTTTCCCGGATCCTCCGCTGTCCCTCCAAAACACAAACTAAGTAGTTAAACAAACAACAAAAAAGCCACGACCAGAAGCCGCCAACGCCCCCCCCACCCCACCCCCCCGCGACCCACGCACCATGCCTTCGGTTCGGCTAGCGCCAAGGGACTTCGCTGCCATCAGCCCACGCACGGGCAGACGCCCACACACAGGCCCCTTCCTCCATCCCCCCTCCTCCTTCTCCTCTCGGGGGCCGGACGCGTCCTCTCCCTCTGCTGTTGCTTTCCTCAGCGCAGACGCGGTGTATTTCCACGGGCGGGCTGTAAAGCAGCGGCGGGGACGGGCGCTGAGGCGAAGTTCGAGGACGCAGCCGAGCTCTGGGAGGGGGCGGCGGCCCTTCGGGTCACCGGAGACGTGCGTGGGGACGCGGCCGGCCGCCGCCCCGCGGGTGGACGGAGGGAAGAGGCAGCAGATCCGCGGGCAAAAAGGCGAAGAGCGGCGGCACCGCCACCCGCCCCCACGGCCACGCCGCCGCCGTCCAGCACCGCCGCGCCTCCCACGCGCGGACGGCCACGCGGCCCGACCCCCGCTCCTGGGGTTGGGGTGCGGGGGGGGGGGAGGGAGGTCCGCGGCCCCCTGCAAACACGGGACGTGCCCCGCAGGCAGCGGGGACCCCGCTCGCCCCGCCGGGCCCGGCCCCCGCCGCGCCGCTCCCACCCGCCGCAGCCCCGCGCTCACCCTCCGCCGCGCAGCCCGGAGCCGGACGGACGGACGGACGGGCGGACGGTGGCTGCAGCGCGGTGCTGCCTTGCCGGCGCGCTGACCGGTGCGATCGCGATCCCGGTCCCGCCCCCACCAGGCCCCGGCCGTGGGGCCAAACCCCGCCACGCAAACCCAGCACAGGGGGTTTTCTCTTCTCTGCGTAGCGTTTGGACCAACTCTGTACACTCCAGAGGGCAACATCAGTGCAGAATGTGGAATGCCTGGAGCGCCCACGGTCCCGGTATTTCATTCCACAGAAAAGGCACACGCCCGAGAGCATTTTACCCGTTGGACGTCCTGGGCATGTGTCACGTATCACCTGAAGATAAAGACCAAGAACTAGAATTTGATCTGAAATGCTAAGACAGGTGAAGGTAGAGGACAGAGCGGTTTTGTTGTTCTTACCATGCCTTTTGCCAAGGCAGCACAAGGCAGTATTCAGTTGGAGTTCCCAAATGGCTGAAACTTTGCTGTTCAGGGGTATCTCACAGCTCCAGTCCTGCCCTGCAAAATGCAGGTTTGGGTATCTGAAGTCCAGCAACTTCACAAGAATGGGACGGAGCCTTCTCGCCAGCAGGACATGCTAGAAAACAGGCATGCTATTGGTACCGTATAGAGCAAAGCTGACTGGAAAGTACTGCTATCACTGAGAAAAAAAAATGAGCTATGATCTTGCAAACACTTGCACATGTGGCTTTGTTTACTTCTACGTGTTGCTGCACTTGTAGTTAATCCAGACAGGTAATTAAAGATGAATGCATGCACGGGACTGAAACAGAGTTTAATACTTTCAGAATTGGCTAAACCTACATGAAGATTTTTTGTTATTTTAGGGAGTTAGATGCTAATAGAGATAAAAAATGTAATATAAATGAGAACCTTACTTTACAGAAAGAGTTTTGCTCAAGCAGCCAGGGGAGGATCTGACATTATGTATCCCAGGCGGGTTTGGAGGGGAAGACACTGTGCCAGGAGTGCTGTGCTTAAAGAAATTAGATAATCCCTTCTTAAGCACTGTGTAATTTGAAGGCACAAATAGAGAAGTAGAACATACAAGCAAGTAAGCCTGGTGGATATTTGTAATTTACAGTAACTGGAAGAAGATAGGACATTGTGTATGTGCTTTTTAATTGGCCAGAAATAGGAAGAAGGTTCATCTTGTATTCAAGTTCTTTTTACGTTACAGGGATAGTACATTATGGAGGTTTGCACTCCTGCCAACCTTCACTGTCAAAAGAGTAAATTGCCAGTTTTCACAAAGTTGCATATGCCTCCATAAATATATATTCAGCAGGGGCATATGCCTTCTTATTTTAAGGTTATATTTTAACACATTTGATTAGAGATATGCATGTACTGGGAGTCTGCTCCATTTATGATATTCAAAAAGAAGAACAAACCCTCAAATTTACTTATGAGTCATCCTTTCTTGGTTTTGGAAAACGAAGGTGGCAGACCTGCTAGTCATGCTAAGTCACACAAGCATTTGTTCAGTCTCCCTTCATGTCAAAGGAAAAGGAAAGTAGTTAACTATTTGAGGTGAAATTCTAGTCCCATTGAGGATAATAAATTATTTTGCCTAAGGGATCACAAATTCACATGACTATTTTTAGGACTGGTAATGGAAAGGAAATGGAAGATGATGCTGAAACACACCTCTGATCTACTACATAGAAGATGTGAACTCTAAGTGTTCACATGTGAATTTAGTCATTGAATGCCTTATTATCCCACTGAGCAGAGCTGCTGGCTTCAGAAGAGAAGGGAGCCTCCTGGAGTTTTTACTTCAGTATTTTGTATTCCTCAGAGAAGGTAACAGAGAAGGGAGCACCAACTTCAGCAACCTTGATGCACCCTAATTTTGCAGTGAGAAATCTGCAGTAGCTCCTGTGGTCCAAAATGAACTGTCAGCCTCTTTGTCATCACCTTGTCCTGCAGTGCTTTTAGCTGGAAAAAATGACAGCGTAGCTCTTTCTTTGAGGTGTACCACCGACACTCCATATTGACATGCTTCTATCTCCTATTTTTGTGTCCAAGCTGGTGAGAATAGGACTTTCATTCCCTTAAAACAGTATAACAGTAATGTCTTCTCAGATACTGCTGGAAGGTTTTTTCAGTGTATTGCATATTCTGGCTTTGGAAGGACAGGGTGGTGTTTGGAGAGGAGTGGCTGGAAGGGATCTTTCCATACCTTAGAGCATTCACCCTGGAGTCCAGGCCTGTTGCTTGCATATGGGTCTACAGGGACATTTCTCACACAGCTGAATCTGCTACTTGTGTTGACAAGGAAAAGAGGATTGAGGCATGCACAATGCAGGGTTATGTTTGATTGTATACCAGAAGATTTGGAAGAAGCAGCCACCCCTTCTCTGTACATTATATACAACCAGCACTCACAGCCTGAAGTAATGTAAAACCTCCATATCTCTGATAAAGGCTACATCATATACAAAAGCTATTACAAAAACCCTGTTATCATTCACCTTACAAAATAAAGGGTGTAAAAAAAACCTGACACTGGCTAAAGAAGAAAACCTCTGCAGTCAGAGTGAATAAGGAAACATGGGATTCATCATCTCCTATATGATTAGAAGTTTGCTTTTAGCTTCCATTTTTTTTTCCTTCACCAAACAGACCTATTAAAAATAAAACAAAGGCAAATTGTCCTCTGGTGGCTATTTGAGCCACTGTCAGTGATGTACATTGGGAAATGGGGCAAGTCCACATGACCTCTGTCCTCCATACCTTTGAGATAGTAATGCTGTATTTTAGAAAAGCGCTTGAACTATGGTTGAGAAGTGCTGTATGCCAGTTCTCTTATTACAAAACATCAGTAAGGAAAAACCTGGGCCCTTTGAAATCTCTGATTACAGAAGGTAAGCAAATGACACCCTCTTCCTGATACAGACATAGTTCAAACCTATTGTTTAACAGTAACTTGTGGTACACAAAAGTATCAAAGTTCTTGTCTCTAGGGTTCTGTTCTTCTGTCAATGGTGATGTAAAGCCCTGTGGATAGGGCAAAGCAAGGCTGCAACATAAAATTCAAGAAGCATTTTGCTATTTCAAGTTTTGCCCTTTTTTTTCTCATGTTGGGGAAAGCATCACACTTAATGCTTTGCTGGGTTACTCAAGTTCAGTTACTTACTCCTGAGAAGTTTCAGCTTGTTTTTTTGTTTTTTTTTTTTTTTGTTTGTTTGTTTGTTTGTTTTGTTTTGTTTTGTTTTGTTTTTTTTTTTTCTTAATGATCTTCTCAATTTACTCTTCCTCTACAAAGTAAATGGCCACATCAGGGTAAAGAGGCAGGCTCTAAAGGTAAAGTTAGGCTACAAAAAGAATAAACTGGTAACTTAAAATCAGGATGTTTTCTTTTAGAAGCAACAGTTGGCCACAGTTTGGGTTTTGGATCAGTTACAGTATTGCTGATGAAAAGCCTTAAACAGGTTTAAGAAGATGCTTAAACTTCTAAGCTTCTCTTTAGCTCTTGCAAATCTAGTAAATCCATCCTCTTTGATGCCACTATTTTTCTGCAGACCTCTTTAGGAGGGAGAAGTGCTATGAAATGGAAGCTTACAAAGTCCTATAGATCACAGGTCATAGTTAGATGATGTGGTGGAACTTTCCAAAAGCTCTCTGCTATAAAAAGGGCACAGCTCTCCCTTCTGGGAGCTCTTGGATACTTTCAGACCCCTTCCTGAGTGGACTCAAGCTGCTGAACTGCAAGGAAGTTTTAATTTCTCACCCCCCCACTGACCAGAAATTTTTCATCTTGCAAAACACACAAGAATCAAGTTGCAAATGATCTGTCAAACGCTAAAGACACTGTAGGCTGGGTCCATACAGGAGCTGCCCACTTTCACCATAGCAGATCAGCTGGCTTCTTACTGAACCATACTCTGAGCTAAAGTCCGTGATGAATCCTAGAGAATTTGTTTGTAGTTCTAACTGGATATTGTGTCTGGATTCTCCCTGCTGTGAAGACACATCTGTCAAGTGTCTCTGCTTAAATTTCTAGTGATAAGAGAAGGCTGAATACCGACGTGGTAGAAAGAACAGGAATGCAGCAGGTGGGGATTAATTTCTGTGTTAAAGGATCTATTAAGTAGATCAAAATTACCAATATTCTCCAGTGCTTATTACAGTCTATTCAACTTAAAACAGTTGACTTTTCCTTAATCTTTCTTCTCTCCCTGGAAATATATTTGAGTATTCTGTCTGCCTACCTCACATCCCTACATTGCCAATGATGCACTTACAGAACTGCGGTAATCCTTGATAAAATGGTATTCCTGCCACGTGATAAATGGATTTGCAGTTGTGTTGCAGACAGAGCTGGAATGTGATTCGTTCCTGTCAGAGAGCACGACTCGACTCAATTACCACAGAACTTGAGTCCATAGGACCAAGCACTGTTCTCATAATATCAGCAAAACGTTTTATCTGTTCACTGGATTTGTAACGATGGAGAATTATTCCACAAGCATCCCTAAGCAGGGCAAAGACCATACATTGGCATGGATTTTTTTAAGAACATAACTGGAGTCCAAGGGGAAGTCCTGTATCTTAGGCCAGGAAATTTTTAAAGACACTCTTAGGGTTTCTTACTTTCATTCCATATCCCCAAACTACTAACATTCAGAGAGACATGTTTGGAGTTAGTAAGTGCTGTTTTCATTACAGATTTGGTACTTTTGGCTCAATTACAGATCACTGTTATTTTTACTTTTTCTTGTGACTGGGAATAATTCAAGTACTACAGAGCTCAATGCTTGGTGTAGTAGATAAAATACACTCAAGTGAAACCTATGTTCGTCCCATTAGAAGAAGAACAAACTATTCAGTGTTGATATGTAACAGCTTTATCAAGTTGTGATGATTGTTCTACAGATGTGAGTGCCTCAGTGAGAGTGTGCTGTCTTTAATCAAGTGTCCTTTTCATTTTCAGTAAAAGCCCCCTTCTCCATTTCAAATGAGCACTTAGGACAGACCCCAAAACTTCAAGGAAGTCTCTTACAGACCTACAGCTCACACATACTAACAATCTTGAAACACTGTGGTGGGTTGACCCTGGCTGGGCACCAGGTGCCCACCAAAGCTGCTCTATCACTCCCCCTCCTCAACTGGACAGGGAAGAGAAAATTCAACGAAAGGCTTGTGGGTCAAAATAAGGGCAGGGAGAGACCATTCACCAATTACCACCACGGGCAAAACAGTCTCAACTTGGGGAAATTAGTTGAATTTATCACCATTCAGATCAGAGTAGGGTAATGAGACATAAAACCAAATCTTAAAAACACCTTCCCCCCACTCGTTCCTTCTTCCCGGGCTTAACTTTGCTCCCAGTTTTCCCTTCCTCCTCCTCCCCAACAGCATAGGGGGACAGAGAATGGAAGCTCATCACACGTTGTTTCTGCCACTCCTTCCTTTTCTCAGGGGGAGGATTCCTCACACTCTTTCCCTGGTCCAGTATGCGGTCCCTCCCACAGGAGACAGTTCTCCATGAACTTCTCCAACATGAGTCCTTCCCCCAGGCTGCAGCTCTTCATGAACTGCTCCAGTATTGGTTCCTTCCACGGGGCGCAGTCCTTCAGGAGCAGGCTGCTCCAGTGTGGGCTCCTTTCTCCACGTCCTGCCAGGACCCTGCTCCAGAACAGGTTTCCAGGGTCACAGGCTCCTTCAGACACATCCACCTGCTCCAGCATGGGGTCCTCCATGGGCTGCAGGTGGATATTGGCTCCACTGTGGACTGCCACGGGCTGCAGGGGGGCAGCCTGCCTCACCATGGTCTTCACCATGGGCTGCAGGGGAATCTCTGCTCTGGCATGTCCTTCATTGACCTTGGTGTCTGCAGAGTTGTTTCTCTCACATTTTCTCACTCCTCCCTCTTGGTGCGGTTGCCCAGGGCTTTTTTTCTCCCCTTCTTAAATATGTTATCATGGAGGTGCTACCACCATCATTGGTAGGCTGGGCGCTGGCCAGCAGCAGCTCCATCTTAGAGCTGGCTGGCATGGGCTCTATTGGACATGAGGAAGCTTCCAGCAGCTTGTCACAGAAGCCACCCTTGTAGCCTTCCCGTTACCAAATCCTTGCCAGGCAAAACCAATACAAACACATTTCACTTTATCTGCTGTTATGGAGCAGCATTTATTCTGTCAATGAAAAGCCAGCCTAGGATAGCAGCAAATGAATGGTACAGAAAAGGTTTGCTACTGGGGCAGCTGGACTGGATGATTAATACAAAATAGAACACAAGTCACTCAAGTTTTTTAGAACAACGGTATTGTATGTTCTAAGAAATGTAAGGCTAGATAATGAATATTGCTTTTTCACACAATTTATGTTGCACAGTCCTTTCAGATCCACACCAGAGTAGCTGCATTTTCTTTACTGGTTTCCATCATTTTGCAACTCCAGCTTTGTAAGCTGGTCCTCAAACTTCTGAATGTCTACTTGATGCTTCATTAGGAACTTCCCATTTAAATGAAAAACAGGTATGTCGTATTTGTATTTATCATACCACGCTGAGTTCTCTGGAAGGGTAATATCCACCTCCTGCAAAATAAACTGTGACAGAAAAGAAATATGTTAGTACCTACTGGACACTGAAAAACAATACCTGCTTGTCTTTTAACCAGTATTTTTTTCAAAAATGCAAGGCTGTTTTCTTGGTGCTTTTTGATTTATTTTCCCATGTCATAGACAACTATCCATTCTGTGGTTACAGAACATACGTAACCACAATCCTTGGCTACATGTCCACAAACAGAGAGACATGTACTAGGGAGAGAGGGACTCTCTCCCTAGTCCAGGACGATATTCTTGATCCTCTGTGCAGAACCACTGTCCTGTGAGCACCAACCACAACAAATATGCAGCCGGCAACACAGTGGCTGCCTGTTAGTCAGCAGAGTGCAACACCTCTTGATGCTTCTGTTAATAGTTTCCTCCTTCAAGAAAGAGATCAAAACCTGACTGAAGAATGGCAAAAACTGCAATCACATATATTTCAAATATTTGAAGCCCCACTTACTAACATCCTTCCCAAATGATATCATTACCTGTCTTATAAAAGTTGCAAACTCCTCTATCAGGCAACGTAACAGTATTTACAAAAGTGGTGGTTTTAAAAACTATTGCAACAAGGTGTACATTGGTTTAGTTTGCCTATACTTATTTGAGTAGCATTGGCACAAAATGCTTTTGGATAATGAGTTTTATGGAAATCAGTGCTGAAATGGGTCACTCATGAAAGAATAATGGACGCAAACAAATCTAAGCAATTTTCTTTTACAAAGAATCCTGATCAACTGTTCCTTCTATATAGAAAATGTATACAGTATTGCAATACATTACCCTTCTTTTATATGGCTCGAGAACTTCTTTTGCTTCATCACATAGAGGGCAGGGTTTCTAAAGGAAAATATTCAGAACAACTTAAAGCATATAGTAACACACACAGATCATTTATACTGTAAAGTAATATACACAGACAGGAGTGAACATTACTGTAAATGTGAGTTCCCTCCCCTATACCACCCTGGCTTACTGCTTTCTAAATTTTTACTGTATCAGTGCAGCATGGATGAAAAGAAAATAAACTGTTCAGTCACAGAATTTAATTATTTCTCATATGCTATTATTTTTCTGATTGTGCAAATTAACAGTTTTCAACATCTCTTCTAAAGGCTGAATCAAGGGCATGGTTTGGAAGGTCATGCACAGACCACTTCTTTTGGTCAGCAGCAATGAATATTCAAAGCATAGTCATCAACAGCTGAAAACAACTGTGGGTACCACTCTTGATAGAAGAATCTCCCTTGATAGAAGGGGAATGAGGAATTCACGAGTAATTTCTAATCTGTTTCAGACTGAGTCACTCAGTTCAGTTCAAATAGCAAAAGAAGTTGATTTAAGATAACCTGGCTGATTTTGCCTGAAAGGAATTAAGGATGATCCTCTGACCTGCAGAGCTGGGAGGACAGTAACCTCCAGCAGGGAGAACCGGCAAACAGCTGCAGTGTTTTGATCTGTGACGGGGTCAAAGAAAACCTCTGATTTTTGAAAACTCCCTGGTCTTCCACTACAGTTATACAGCAGACTTCCGCTGATCATGCATCATGAGCATTAGAGTAGTGTGTACCTGAAGAAGTGACTCATGTAAAAGCACGCTGCTTCAGTGTTTGTAATGGCAGAATTCGGCCTATAATTCACATAGCAAGTTATAGCAGTGGTGATGGTGATGGCTCTGTCCATCTGCCATGAAATACCTCTCACAGCTGGAAAAGACCTTCTCCTCTCCCTCCCACTTCAAGTCTTGCTAGGGCTTGTTTAAACTTGGAGTTAATCTGAAACAGATACTTATTTTCTGTGTGTGAATTAATCTGGATTAAATATTCTACATTTAATTCACATCTAATCTAAATTGTCTTTCCCACACAGACATTTCCTTGTGCTCTGAAAACCTATGCAAGATGCTAAGGATGAACAGTGCTGCATTCTTCCTAGTTCTTGTCACTTTTGGAGGGACTGATATACCTGATATTAGTGACTGAAAGGAAGATCTCAAAATCCTGCACATCAGTTTTGTAACATGCCAGGCTTCTCACAATTAAAGCAGGACATACTCTGTTCCCCTAGGCCTGTGGAGAACTTTCTAGCAGTCACATCAAAGCATCTGACAATCTAAATTGACTCTTGGCAAAAAATGTGGTTTTACTCCGGCTCTAATGCCAAGCTTAAGCACTACATGGTACTAGTAAGATTTGGACTAGTTTAAAGGTCAGATAGCAAACTATTTCAACAGAGAAATCTGTTTAAACACATAACAACATTTTATTATAATTAATTATAATCAATATAACTAAATAATTATAATATTAGTAATAATTTATATTAGTACATACTTTTCAGTAGAACGGTGCAACAGTAGGTCTCTGCCATCACTTGATTTATGTCAATTTCTAATAGGGCTCTCTCCATAAAGCTGTCTTGGATAACCTCTCAGGTGGCAAAAGGGACTCCTACTGCTGAGGTAGTAAAAATCTCTTCCCAAAGTGACATATTCTATGCCGATAGCTAGATCTATTAGACAATACATGTGGTGGAAGGGACAGTTTTATTTCTACAGATAATTGCCATTTATGCTGCATACTTAAACCACAGCTTTGTGGTCATTTTAAGCTTACACTGTTGCGGAAGGAAGCAGACCAATCTTCCTGCCAGTGCTTCTTATGTGCTGGCATAAGCACTCAAACAGCTGCACAGCAGAGCTGGACAGGAGAATTGGTCTGAGTTAATCGTAACCTTGCCAAAAAAAAAAAAAAAGAAAAAAAAAAAGAAAAAAAAGTTGTTTTTTTTTTTAACCTGGAGCAGTTGTTGCATGAATGCTTTTATTGCCATAAAAGGAGCCTGTGAGGGGAAAACCACTTGGCAGTGCTAGTTTCTATCAGTTTGAAGTAACTGCAGAAGTCATAGCTCCCTCCCACCTTGTCCTCTTTTCTCCTTATTCTTAAAAATAGGAAGGAGGGAAAAATGAGTTAATTAGCATAAACTAAGAGTGCAGATTAGATTTAGTTTTAAGGAGTCTGCAGTTTGCTTTGCAATTGCCAGTGGTATCAGACATGAAAAACATTTTAAGTTAAAACCACATTCAACCAGAGGCCACTTTAGATAACTACTTGAACTCTAATATTAGAAAATGTGATTTCATACAGTGTCTTACTACTTAGAAATTTTAAGACACTGAAACCATACAAAGAGCTTTTTCCCTATTATTGACCCAAAGGTAAGATCATTATTCCCTACCTTACCACATTTGGATTATGAATGAGTTGATGCTGAATCAGGCAGGGGTAGAGAGAGCAGTAAGTTTAAAGTATAGTTCTTCTTATAGCATGCGTTGCTCTGATTAATAAACAGATGGTGACCTTTTATTTTTTAACCTATTCATATGTTACACAGTTTAAACAATCCTTTACAGTTAGAGATGGAATGAACAAATATTGTGGAGGAGGAGATTATTTTAATTGCATCAACCTCCAAAAAATACTGCCATACTGATGTCAACACTCTCAATGCTTTGCATTTCTAGTTATTCTCCTCTTGAAGGCTACATCAACCATATAAATGCAGCACAGCCCACTGTGTGCCATCCTATCTAAAAGTGCTGCAGACCTCTGCAGATAACACAGGCTCTTGATGACAATTCATGGAAGGTGACAGTTCACAAATGACCATTCCTACTCATCACATCTGTTTTCTAGATATGCTTAAGAACCCTATCTGTTCATGCCACAGGCAAACCTTCGCCTGCATCCTATCCCTGTTAGTGTTACACAGCCAATAAAGCAAAAAGAGGGTAAAGCACAATCTACTTTTTCCCTGTGTGCTACCAACACTACTTGGATATACTTTCAGTCTCACATGTAGTGCTGAAATTAAACATGAATGTTTTGAAGAGCCTGCTTTGGCTGTTGATGCTTGTTCTTGGCAGATTATGTACAACAAATGATCTTTGTTCTCCACTTCCAGAATGAAACACTGACAGTTAGAGAACAATTTTCAACTAGTAAGTGGACCATAGCGTTACTCAGACACAACTACCTTGAAATCTTAATCTGTTGGTTGTAACTATTTTCTTGCTACAATGAGAGTAGGACTGTACTGTAAATCCCGTTGTAAAAAATACCCCCAAAGTAAAATGCCCAATCCCACACAGATTTAAAGGGGACAAAAAGCATGGCCAAGCCATTTCATCTGGGAGTCATGTATATCAAAGCTGAAAAATACACAGTCTTGCCTAGCTTTATTCTGTAAACAACTTTTACCTTGGTGAATAAAGTCAACACTGGCTTATTTGCGCTGGCTGAACAGAGTTCTCTCCCCAGTGGACTGGATGAATGTCTTGCTAGTTGCAGTGTTCTGCTCAGAAAACAAAGCACCATTGTCCTGGTAAGGCAATAATAAAATATTGAATTGTTTTGTGCCAAGTTATAGATCATAAAATTGAATGTTAAGATGTGATACTTCAATCACAGTTCTAAAATACACACAATCAAACCATTTCCCCAGGATTTTTATGTTCACAGTATCAACACATTAATCAGAAAAATGGTTCACTGTGCAGCAGGCCAGAAACACTGCACAGCTCAAAAAGTGTAGCTCCACTTTTACAAAAACATTGTTTCCTTGCTGAAATGCCTCTTTCAAATTCCCTAACACAAATGCTGACATAAATGCATTATGCTGTTTCAACTGCACAGATGCCAGTAAGACTTACACAGTATTAACAAAATGCAGTGTTGTGCTCTGAACCTCAGTAATCCTGTTGCAGTGCTTGACATATTCTCCTTACTCAAAATTATTCCATCCAAAAACTAATCTGTACCTAATCAGTATATTAATATAATGCTTTCTTCAGTGAATAAAAAGCTGCAGCCAGGATGACTTAACTGGGTAATATTAAAAGCACGTACATTGCCCTGAGTCTTTCCTGCAACAGCAAATTAATTCACAAAAAAATGTTGATGGGTTTGTGATTTCTTTGGGAAGTTTAAGTAAATTTATTGTGTTGAAGGGTGCCATATTGGAGTCCCAAAGTCACCTATTCGTAATAACACTAACAACAACATTGCTTCCTCCAAACTTGTGTCTTAGACGTTTACAAGGAATTCTAGGACCGAAGGGCAAAAAACAGAAGCAAAAGGGTACCTGCATGGAGATTACTGGCAGACGTGATGCTAAACATCAGAATTTACACCAGGAAACTGAAGGCCCTTTTACATAAAGCCAAACTGCATCTGTTCGATTTCTGTTCAGGCATGACTCACCTGTATTTCTACTAATTAGAACTAATCACAAACACACAATGTAATGGCACAAGTTTAAACAACTGAAGTGTGAGTAGGACTACGTTGCAAATGATAAGCATGTTTTAAGAAAAAGTGCATTCACTGAATCTCTCCGTATCACAGTTCGGTTTTAAGAGAGACATCTCAGTCAGCATTAACTGCTAAGGAAAAACAAAACATTTCAGTGGACTCTGAACTTAAGCCTACTTAACTGCTATGTTTCTAAGCAACAACCACAAGACAAAAACAAATGGGTGACAGGACACTGCCCCACCAGCCTTACTGCACTGTCAAAGGCACCTTTTTCTTTTCCAGAAGACTCTGGTAAGGGTAACATGCCATTTTTCTAGAAGTTTCAACAGAGCAAATACAAACAAAAGGTATTACCCTTTGAAAATTATAACCTGAATTATCAAATTTAGGATGCTAGGAATCAGAGAGGGTTTTTTTGACCACATAAAAATAAAGTCTAAAATACAGTATTGTTACCAGAAAGTGGTAATTAATTCACTCTCTAAGACTCAATTTTGGAGTTTTAGAAAGCAGGCATTCTTTATTAAAGTGCCAGACCCAGGGGATAGCTCCTCCTAATATGTGTGTGAGAATGAAATCAACAAGCATTTATACTACCTTAATCATACATATTCATTGCATTTTTATCATATTCATAAGTCTTCCGGGAACTCATTTAGCATATGTTAATGTCTCTTGCGCATGTCAGTTGGAGTCTTCGGGTGGTTGTTGGGGGCTCTTCAGATGAAGGCTCGTAGTCTTCTTCACTGTGTTCACCAGCTGACCCTTACTTCTGCCCAAACTCAGTCCTGTCGTCATGTACACCTTGTCTTTCAAGGCTGGCCTGGTCTGGTTTGTTGCTAATTTGCAGCTTCTTTATGTTTCATTGCACCTGCCACTACAAGGCCAAACTGTCTCCAGTAAGATTATTCATGAGTGCCTTATCCTACAGTTATTCCAACTATTCCTCAAAAGATTAGTATTTGTTCTACAGCACAATGGTTAAATGGCTAAAACAGCTTAAATTGATCCTAATAATTCTAATCCTCAAATATCTATTTTCTAATAACCTTAGTTCACAGGTATCATTGTTAAGCAACAAATGGGCTTTGGATTTACTGTTTAGTTTGGGACAGAAAGGATTCTTCATCTGTATGTGTCAGACTTGATACCAGTAAGAGTCAGGTGCAGGGGTGGAGCCGTATGGTTGCTGTCACTGCAAAGTTGCAGGTGACTGGCACAGCACACACTGACACTGGTCATAGTCCTTGGCAGCTATTGCACTTGTTTTACTTAGCCAGGTGGAAATCTAATTGTCTGGGCTTTTACATAATAAATACAAAAATAACCTTGGAACCTTTTGGAAAAATGCAAATCTGGATGACAGCAAATGACCTCAGTCATACTCAGGAATTTTTACATTCACAGTAAATAGGTACCCAGAATGGATGTGGTTTTGGCATAAAAAATTGCAGCATGTCAGCCTGCTCACAAGCACAATAAAATTGCCAAAACAAATAGTCTGCATTCTGGCAAGTTTTTTTTCCCATCAAGCCAAATTCCGTGCCTTCAAAACATGGAAAATGCCCCCAAGTTGTTCTGTGAACAGCAGAATTAATAAAGCCTAGATTTCCATGTACCTTATTTCCTTATATATACACATATATGTATAAAATAGGTCCAGTTCACTCCTTTATACCCTCTTTTTTGATCCCTACACCCTCTGGTAAATTTGACTCCAAAGGACAACTCCTACCAAAACATCAACTGAAGTGGAATGAATAAGACAGTATCAGTAACTATGCTTCAAGATCTCACAAAAAGAAATAAGCTAGCACAGCATCTGACTTTCTTACCAATTATAAGCAATACTGCCTTTGGAATTCAGGAGCAAATCTTCATTGACCAGTACTACTACTGAAGCAAGAGTCTGCTGTTTCTAGAGTTAGTGTGAGACTGGCTGAATGTTTGTATAAATAACCTAAGGAAAACAGAGTCCTGGCTGTCAATTTATTCACCTATGTAGAATGATAATAAGGCCCTACTGTAATACCAGTTACAAAAAGAAGGACTAATCCTGGTTTATAAAATGCCAGTCTCTGTCCAGGCCCCAGTCACACTCTCCTCTTCCATCAGCATAAAGCAGTTTGAGACATCGAGCCCTGAGAGAGGGTAAGATGCTGTCAGATGGCATCATGTTCCCACAGTGCAGATGATACAGCTCGACTTCCCCACGCTCCTGAAGCCCACAGCTGCCAGAGAGCATCATCAGTCAGACCTGCTGCATTTAACCTGGGCTAGAGCATGGAACAACTTCAGCTTCACTGGATTGCAACTAAGGCTCTGCCCCCATAGAATTTGCTTCTAAATCAGTAGAATTTACTAATCTTATTTTATTGGATTAAGCAAAAAGGTCGTGGATAAAACCAAATAGCAGTGGTTTTGCACAAACACTGAAGGGTTCTAGTATTATGAAGGGTTGAGTATAGCTGCTATTGATCAGGAGCTGATGAAAGCAAATATCCAATCGCTCATCAGACAAATTTACTGCAGCAGCTCAATTTGCCTGAACAGCATCTCAGAGCCACACGGGTGTTTAATGCATGCACACTACCACCGTGTGAACAAATGGGTTCCCAACACTGACCTGTGCTAAGCTGAGCAACATTTCTGGAATGTAGAACTCAAACCCCAGAGGTCATTTCCATGCCGGTCTCATAACTGACATAAATAAAGTGTCGCACTGACGCCCCACAGCATTCACATCCTGCTCACATCTATATCCTATTTGTCTTCTGTTATGAAGAAACGCTAAAAGCACACACAAAATCTTTCAACGTGCTTATCCTGGAGCTCTCTTTAGCCTACCTCCGAGTAATTATAACGATTTGTTTGAGAAACAAAATTAATATGTAAAGAAAGATGATTGCAAACTTCAGAACTTGCCCTCCCCCATACTACCGCACTACAGAATGATTTAACAAATGATGCTTGTATGTCTGGACTTTGCCCATGCTGTATTTTGCAAGCCATATTGGACTCATTTCCTCTTAATAGAATTTCCATCACCTAATAAATCCCCATCGGCTGGAAAAATACAGTGTGACACTAAAACTAGCCATTATTTAGATGAGATGATTACCTGTATAAACCTTATCTAAGCATCAATCAAGGAAAGACAAGCATGGCTGATTTTGTCTCCAACTATGTACCTTTTAATGACACTATATATTCCTAATCTCAACTTCAAGTCACCAATATACTCTTGTTCTGTGGTTCTGAATGTTTTATATACATAATCATCAGTATATTTGGAGATGATTATGCCCTGTTTTCCATGTATTTGTACACATATACACAAGGATGAAATTACTATGAATTTGCATGCATTTGTCTGTATAATATTTACATTCATGTAGTATTTGATTTTGAACTCTAACCTGGGTTTGACAGAAGATGGGGATTACCTGGGCAAAACACACCTCTTTCTGCAAGGTAAAGGTAACACATCAGGAACATGGATAATGTTACATGACAATGTCCTAGACATTTTCTATTTGTCTTAAAGAAACTTTTTAAGTGTCTATTAAACTGACTCCTACCCTCCATTTAATTTTCATTCTAGTAGGTCAAAGGAATACCAACTAAAACAGAGTGACAAAAGCAAGCAGATGCAAATGTAAGAGTATGTGCTGATGGCCTAAGTCACTGGTGGTTTAAAACAGCCTTCTTCTGTTGTGCATCATTCAAAATTCAGCTGTGATCATGCAGGAAAGTAAACTCACTGACAGTCTGCTGTTGTCAGTTTGATTACTTACCAGTGAAATGCTGAACAAGAAAATACAGTGCCAAGAAAATACACAGACCAAGGAGCACGCCTGAGTGCTGAGGACACCAAATCCTGTAGTAGTCGAGATCCCCACAGGGCTCTTACCATTCCAGCCTTTCAGAGTGTCCTGGTTTGGGCTGAAATAGAGTTAATATTCCTTTTCAGGGACTAGATGAGTGCTGTGTTTTGGATTTAGCTTTGGGTTTGGTATGAGAAGAATGCTGATAGCACACTGATGTTTTCAGCTGCTACCGAGACTTCAAGGACTCTCTGACTCCCCATGTCCTGCCCGTGCGCAAGGGCACAGGGAGCAGGAAGGGAGCACGGACAGAGCACCAGACCCAAACTGGCCAATGAAATATTCCATATCATGGCATGTCATGCTCACTATATAGGAGGGGTGGTTGGGAAGGAGCTCTCTCTCTCTCTCTCTCGCTTCCAGGATTGCGATTGCGGGATTTTGGTATCTCGGGGTCGCTGGCCGGGAACGGGCTGGGGATTGGTCAGCGGGTGGTGAGCAATTACGTTGTACATTGCCTGTTTATATATTTTTTTTTCCCTATCATCACTGTTCTCGTTTTATTGCCATTATTAAACTGTTCCTATCTCAGCCTGCGAGTCTCCCTTCACCCCTCTGATCCCCTCCCCCATTCCCAGGTGGGGAGGGGGAAGGGACGGTGACCAGCTGCCGTGGTTGGCTGCTGACCAGGCTCAAACCATGACACAGAGGAGGCATGCAAAATACAGGAAAATATGGAACTTCTTTTTGCAAATGCATGTAACTCCGTAAGTCTTTAGGGAGGAATCAGGTTTTTACATCAGCTCAAAATTCAGATACATCATCAATGACACCACTGGTTTCTGTGAGGCGATGTTATATACCTATTAATGCATATTTCTATATATCTTCTCCTCCAAACTACAGTAATCTGGGGTAAATACCACAAAACCATTGCATCCATCCCAGAAAAGATTAAAAGTATCACTTCATCCTAACGTGCAACAACTTTTGTCTAGTGATCCCTCCAGAGGTACTCACTTCGGACCCTGGTCTGAGGCCCATACTCCAAATTTCAGACAATTTAAAAAACATTTAATAGGTTGCTGTAATGGCGATGAGGCCGTTTCCGAAGACTAAAGAACCTGCAGATAGAACAGACCATGATCATAAAGTCACGGTATGAGCTTAAAAGCCTGTCTTAAACATCTCCATTTGAAAACATCTCAGCTAAATGACCCACTTCCGCTCCGAGGGCCGGGGGTTAGCCAAATCGGGTAAGGAGTGTATCCAGAGGTCTTCCCATTGTCCCCTGTAATGAGAAAGCCTGCATTTTTTTGATGCTGTTTTCTAAATCACTCCTGCCCTCCACGCAGAGTCAGAGCCTATTAAAACAGAAGAGAGGACACGAGCCTCGCCAGCGGCGGCTGCGCAGGGCCGAGCCGGCGGCGCCCCGCCACCTTGCCTCCCTCCGCCCGGCTTCTGCCCCCCAGGCGGCCTCTCCAGGCCCGGCGCCGGGGAAAGGCCTCCGCGGTCGCTGCCCAGGCCCCGCGGCCCGGCGCGGCCCGGCGCTCGGCACCAGCCGGTTACCCCCGGGCGGGTCGCAGGCGCTCAGAGAGCCGCACGCGTCGGGCTGGGCTGGCGGCGAGGCCCGGAGCTGCGCACACCCACCTGCCCGCTGCCGCCCGCCGCCTCCCGCCGCCTCCCGCCGCGGGGCTCCGGCGCAGCGCCCGGGAATGGACACGCTGCCCCGCCGGGCCCGGCCTGGCGGGAAGCGGCGCCGCCGCCGCTCCAGCGCCCCCTGGTGGGCGCGCGCCGCCTTTACCCCTTTCCGCCGCGCGCGCCGCACCCCGTTGCTGCGGCCGAGGCCCGCGGGTTCCCGGAGCCCCAGGGTGGGGGCTCCCAGCTCCCCCCGAAACCTCTGCCCCGCCGGGTGTGCCCCGCCTACGTGAGAGCCGGCCCTCCACAGCTCCCGCCGGCGGGGGGCCGGTTGCCCTGGCGCCTGCTGGTCGCCCTCCCCCGGCCGCCCGGCTTCCCAGCAGCTCGGAGCTCCGCCACAGCTAGGCGCCCCTTGGTCGCTGCTGGAGGCGGGTTTCTGGCTTGCAACTTCCACCCTGTGCCGCGCTGAGGTCCCCAGTTTCTCCTAATCCAGTGCCTTCCGATGTGTATCGAAAAGTCACCTTCTCCTCCATGCCGGATGGATGTGCAGGGACTAGATCTTGGCCACCCACTCTGGCTGACGAGGTATACCTCTAGATGTAATGGAAAAAACCCCCCACCCTACATTGTTAGAGTCTACCATTAAAACACAAAGCGTCACAATAACGAAAGCACACAGTGATAATAAGAGAAAGGTGTGAGGAAAATACATTAAGTGTAGTGACACATAATGATACATTGCATAATGGTGGCTTGGGCAGTACTTTGACTTTATCTTTGTATCTAATAATTTCTATTGGAACATTGTGTGATGATTGTTATGAAACCTGCACATTAGTTCACTGAGCTCCAGTAGAGCACTTGGTTACAGGCTAAGCCAGAGCCCATTGGAAATCAGTGTTATTTTTTCCCTTCTCTTCAAAAAGCTTTGTGTCAGACCATTCCTTTGTGAGCAGCACAGAAAATAATAGCCCCCTCCCCTACTACCAGAAAACCCCCACCACTCACTCAAACCCAGGACAGATATGTTTGTTCAGAGTGCTAAAAAAAAAAGTTGAGTATGGTTGTGTTTAACATCTTTTTAAATAGTAACATTTCCTTTCCATGAATTCTAGCTCAGTGGAGAATATTTGTAGGAAGATGGAAGCTTTTATGGGAGCAAGGATAAGTACTAGCCTTACCTTCAAACATACGTTAAGGCTGCTCTGATAAGTGGTAGCTGTAAATGTCCTACCCGCCTCATCTCCAAGATCATATAGTTAAAAAATAACAGGACAATGAAATAAAGTGGGTAATTTTGGTCCATGTGTCCTCAGTAAGTTATGTGAAGGTCTCAGCAATCATTTGTCTAACCAAAATTTTCCCATCACATACTATGCCTTTGATTGCACATAAATGGCGTATGAACAAGTAGCAGTTTTTTGGCATTATAAAGTGAATAATGCAGATTTTGTTTTACTTTTGTACATCCATATCTTTTTCCTAGAAATGTCTTCCTCTGTTTTACATGGATTTACCTATTAGGGTTAAAAGAGCCACTTGTATCATACTGCAACACTTATCTCTTGAAAAAACAGTTTCAAAGAAAATGAGAAAAAAAGACTGAATGTGGAGGATCTGGTATACTTCTCTCAGCTATCGAAGAAGAAACACTTTCTCAAGGTGATGATGTACTGTGCAATGATATATTAAGTAATGATGTACTACCTAGTATAAAATGTGTTGCTTTTATTTCCTCTCCCAAAATACAGGTTTCTAAAGGAAATGGATCTTCTCCAAATACCTTTACACTATTAACACATTTCTTTCAGATTCACACGAAATATAGTTACTATCATGCTAAGGCTGATTTTTGCTCTTATTCCAAATTGATCACTTTATAATAAATATATTCTGTCCCTTTACTAAAAAGCTAATAAGAAATGTTAGAAAGTTTAAAAATTCTTCCCTGTTTTGAATTCCATCTGGGTAAAAATGTAAAGCAGTGCCTTTACTGTTGAAATTATAATTATTTTAAATCTAACTACCTGATTAAAAGCTGTATGTATCATAGCATTGCTTCTATTCACATATTTTTTTTTCAGAGATATATTGGTTTTTAGTACTGTTTCCTCCTTTACTATGCAGTAAATAATTGACTCATTACTAGCATAATTAGGTTGTAACTGATCCCTTCTGATGCCATGGAGTTTTTAGATAAGCATTTTGTGGCAGTTCATAACAGCAGCAACCGTGTGTTTTGTGTCGATTTTAAATCAATTATTAACTGATCTCAAACTTAAAATTGCATGATATAGAGGATCAATGTGGAGTTTAACTCTGATACAGCAAAATGCTCATCCAATGTGCACTTCATTTTAATCATTGGGTAATCCCATTCATTTACATTCCCATTTTGTAATAAAAACACCAAGTCGTACAAACTGCAGTACTAAGATGCAAAGCAGCTCATAGGAGCCTCAGGATCATGATCCTTAGGAGAGGATGTGTGTGCTCTCACCCTTCCATTTATGCTTGCTGAGACTGAACAAACAAACAAGCGAACATCCCCTCCCCAAGACCTTCAACATTTGATTTGTGGATGCGTCACTCAGTCTTGTCTGCACCACGGAGCCATGGTTCAGTGCCACCCCCACACATGCTGCCTCCATGTGAGGCTGTTGGGTTGTGGCGATGCCATTAAGCTAAACTGAGCCACAGCAGCAGCACTGAGTGTTGGCACACAAGTGGCTATACCACTTTCACGTTCACTTGGATCCTTCAATATTTCTGTGGAATGCGTACTCCAGGAGTCTTCTGAATAATGTCAGGTATGTGCAGGTGAGCACATAAGCTAGGGACTGTGCAGGGAGCCACATTCTCTGAAAAAGAGAACACATTCTTTGCTTTCAAAAGAAGTAATGGGAATAAACCACATTCATTTACAGTAGTTCAACTGGAGGAGGGGCTTCCAGGTCTAGGACGTGACAAGCATAATTTCTATGATACAAGTTTTTCCATTCAACAGTAAGATGGAAGATGAACAAAGGGAAAATTATGCAACTTCAAAATCTGTATAGAGCTTGTCTCCTGAATAGAACTATTGGAAGGCATGAGAATGGTTACACTGTGGATTTGCTGTTCTTTTCTTAAGTAGGCACTTAAAGGCATGAAAAACTGTCTTCATCAGTCTCATCTAGGCCCTTTACCTGGGCTTTTTTCTGTAAAATCTATTGGGTTTTGATTTTTCTTTTGTTTTGTTTGGTTTTTGTTTTGTTTTGTTTTGTTTTGTTTTGTTTTGTTTTGTTTTTTCCAGCAGCTGTTCTACCATGCCAAGATCCCAGGGTGATGATCCTTGGGCCTTTTTGCAGAAATCTGGGGGACCATTAATGTGTTATTTTCAGGAAAGGGAGACTAGAAAGGAAGAGTCTAGCTTCAAGGTCTGTCTTTTGGGATGTGCAGCAATAGTTTCCTTAGCCTGAGGATGCCCAGCTTGAAACATGCTGTTGGGCTCTTTTGCAGACCTAGCATGAGTTCAGCCCATTCTACTTTACTCTGCTTCTTGATTTTGTCAACAGACATAAACTTATTATTTGTGTGTTTCAAGGAATTGGATTATCTAGATGAAAAGGCTGTTGTTTTTATGCCTTCAGTATAATGTGATCTAGCTGAATGTAATGTTACTATGATTTTTTCATAAATGAGAGCTCTGGCTTTCTGTGTTAAGCCTGTGCCATCAAAAATGTGTTGAGATATCTGATCTTCATTGTCTAGACATCTCAAGACAGCAGCAGAAATCAGTTGCGGTATGCTGTGTGGATTACTGAGTGGATGTGACCTCAAACTATTCAATTCTAATCTTCTAATAATGGGTGTGTCCCTATGATGCAGGGCAGTACTACCCCTGACACTGCAGAGCGACACATGGTGGGCTAACTCATGCCTTGAGTGTTGCTGTAATTGTGAACCCATTGCAGAAAAGTTGTGACAATGATGGTGACACCTGATTATTGTTACTGATGTAAAGCTTCTCATTGTGCTTTATCGGCTGTCCTGGGATCTTCATAAAACAAAAAGCCAGAAAGGATCGCAGCTTTATTTCAACAACATTGCCCAATTAAAAAAAATTCTATGGTAATTTGTGCACAGATGTTATCAAATATGAGGGTTTTGTTCTATTCCTAATCAACACAGATATATAAAACAACCCTATTCTTTCTGTTTGACTTAATTTCACTGTATTTCTGTGACTCTATTCAGTACTTTCTTTGAACTATTAGGTTAAACTGGAGGTCCTGCAACTTAAAAAGACAGCATGCATATACTAAGAGTGGGCATTTTGTCCTTTCTATCCAAAAGTCTGTTTTTTATCCAAAAGTAAGATTCAGCAAGACTGTTTTTCAGTAGGCATAAGGGAGAATGGGAGGAAGGATTCACTGTTTTCTAATCACTCCTTCAGCATTGGGCTCTTCACCTCCTGATCAGCTTGTGTGTTTGTGCAATTGTGTATGCAGGGGATTGAAAATAGGTAAAGGAGCGAGGGTCCCACAACATTCATCTCTTCCTTTCTCAACACCTTCTTTCTTTGTGAGTGTTCGAATCCTCAAACAGGTTCAGCTACTGTTTCAAACTGAGGATTCTTTATTCTGGACCTCTCTCTACCATGCAAATGAA